CGCGCCTCACGTACCACCTGAAGTTCACGAACGCGATGCGCAAACTGCCTCCGGCACCCGCACATTCGCTTCTCGACGTTCTACTTCCCGCTCGCCTTCACCTTCAACAAGTCGTCGTTCTGTATCTCCTATGCCTTGACGACCCAGCTCCATTGAGACGGAAAACTAACTGCCGCAGCTTCGGAGGCACGAGCTGTGTCATCGTCTAATCGTTTAAGTCCTCGCCTGTCTCCCCCCAATCTTATCGATGTAATCGTCGAAGGTGTACGAACACTCGCACTCATCGATACCAGTGCCGCGATATCTGTTATTAGTCAAAGACTCTGCCGCTCTCTTCGTAAAGTGACGATGCTTTCTCCCGTGGTTTCTCTTAGTACTGCAAGCACCCAACAAATTGAGCCCGTCACGGCATATACAGCAGAAGTCGTTATTCGAGACGTGTTGTACACCATTGAATTTCACGTGTTGGCTTCATGTTCCCACGATGTCATCCTAGGATGGGATTTTTTATCACGTCATCACGCCGTCGTGAACTGCGCTCAGGCCGAAGTGGAGCTGTTACCGTTTCGTGATGCGCCTTCTGTTGATGCGGCCGTATCTAGTGTGGCTAACATTGTCGTCGCGATGGACATAGACCTTATTCCTTTCAGCGGCCAGTTTGTCCCTGCCTGCTGTGCTTCACTTTCTGACGCTACCGTCCTATTCACGCCATCTGACATCTTCGGTAGCCGCCACCACAAATCGCGGCCATTCGCCATTCTTGAGCTTAGTCAAGACACTACCGGGATATTTATTTTCAATCCCAACTCGTGTCCCCCCAGTTTGCGCCGCAACAAGACGCTCGGCCACATTCAGCTTATCGATGAAGGTACTATCTTGCCTGCCGATTTGTTCGACACCAAGCCGAATATGGAGCTGAACGCGTTGGTTCCTCACTTTGCCTCGAACAGCGTGTCTACCGATGCATTTCACCATTCTATTGACAGCCATCTCGCCCCGGCTCAACGAGAGCAGCTTGTTACCCTGTTGCATGAATTCAAGCGTTCGTTTGACTTTCCCCAAGCGGTGCTAGGAAGAACGAACACCGTTGTGCACACAATTGACACAGGAAATAGTACTCCTTTGCGCCAGCGCCCTTATCGTGTGTCACCGGTGGAGCGTCGCGTAATTGCAGAACAAGTAGACGACATGCTACCGCGTGGAGTCATCAAGCCTTCTTGTAGTCCTTGGTCTTCCCCAGTTGTACTCGTCAAAAAAAAAAAAAAAAAACTAAGATGGTTCAATCCGGTTCTGCGTAGACTACAGGTGCCTAACATTACGAGGAAAGATGTTTACCCTCTTCCGCGCATAGACGACGTTCTCGATTATCTCCAAGGTGCAGAATTCTTTTCCTCGCTTGAACTTCGCTCGGGTTATTGGCAGGTCCCAATGGCTGAGTGTGACCGTCCAAAACAGCGTTTGACACACCGGATGGCCTCTATGAATTTACCGTAATGTCATTCGGACTCTGCAATGCGCCTGCCCAATTCGAGCGAACGATGGACAGCATTTTACGCGGTCTCAAATGGAACATATGCTTGAGCTATCTTGATGACGTTGTGGTTTTTTCGCCCGATTTCACTTCGCATCTCACTCGTCTGCCTAAGATTCTGCACTGCCTTACGAACGCAAGGCTTCAGCTTAATCTGAAAAACTGTCCCTTCGGGGCTAAACAACTCAGCATACTTGGTCATATCACTCGAAAGCCGGCATCCTTCCCGACCCTGGCAAGCTTCGTGCTGTTGCTGAATTTCCTAAGCCGACTACAGTTAAAGAACTACGGAGCTTTGTGGGCCTGTGCTCCTATTTTCGTCGGTTTGTCTGGAACTTTGCCTCCATCATCGCTCCACTCACCAAACTTTTTGCTGGCCCTGCAGATCTTTCGAATTGGACAGCAGCCTGTGACGAATCTTTCGCAACACTGCCTTACCTCACCACCCGTACTGCGCCTTTAGGACCCTACTGCGCCAACCGAAGTACACACAAGGATGCAACTGGCGTCGGCCTTGGTGCAGTACTCGCGCAACGCAAACCAGGTTTTACGGAGTATGTGGTCGCCTATGCCAGCCGCGCCCTCACTAAGGCGGAAGCCAACTATTCTGTTACGGAAAAAGAGTGCCTCGAGATTGTGTGGACGTTAAACAAGTTTCGCCTCTATTTGTACGGCCAAACTTTTGATGTGGTAACTGACCATCACGCACTTTGTTGGTTGGCTTCACTGAAAGATCCTTCTGGCTGCCTCGAACGTTGGGAACGTCGTAAATGGCTGCTAGTCATACCCAGCCATATGCGGTCTGATATCTGCAAATATTTTCATGCTGAACCGCAACACGCACACGCCGGTGCGCTAAAGACGTATGAGTGGATCCGCCAACGTTACTACTGGCGAGGTATGTACACGTTTGTACGCAAACACATTCGCTCATGTTCTCTGTGTCAGCAGCGCAAGACATTTTCTTTCACCCGGTCAACTGCAGCCTTTACCATGTCCTGTACGCCCATTTGACCGTGTTGGGATTGACCTATACGGCCCGCTACCGTGCTCTGTTGGTGGTAATCGATGGGTGATTGTGGCTGCCGACCATCTGACAAGGTACGCCGAAACGGCAGCACTACCTTCGGCTGGTGCTCCTGACGTTGCAAGCTTCATCTTGCGTCGGTTTATTCTTCGTCATGGTGCACCACGGGAGCTCCTGAGTGACAGAGGTCGCGTATTTTTGTCCGAAGTTCTGCAGCAGCTCCTACATTCATGCCGTACGGTACACCGCACATCAACAACCTACCACCCACAGACAAACAGCCTAACGGAACGTTTCAACAGAACCCTCGGAGACATGTTCGCTATGTATATTGATTCCGACCACTCCAACTGGGACGTTGTTCTTCCTTTCGTGACGTACGCCTACAATACGGCGATTCAATCTACAACAGGCCTTTCTTCATTTTTTCTTTTATATGTTCATGACCCATGCAACACACTCGACACAATTCTGCCATACAATCATGATGCCTCCGAGTTCAGCCCAGTTTCTGAAATGGCCGAACATGCCGAAGCGTGTCGTCAGCTTGCACGGTTCGTCAAAGCCGATAACCAAGCTAAAGATCGCCACGACCATGATCTTGTTCAGAATACCTTCCCCGTCGGTTCTCTCGTGTGGCTCCGACTGCCTTTTCACTCTCCTTGACTGACTCCCAAGTATGCACCGAAGTATACGGGTCTTTACCGCGTCATACAGCACTCTAATTCTGCCACCTATGTGATTGAACCGCTCAAGCCGTCCACGGACAAGCGCCGCCTTGGTCGTGAGATGGTCCACGTTAGTCGCCTCAAGCCCTGTTATGACCCTCTTGTTCTCTCGTCACCTTGAGTCGCCAGGATGGCTCGCCTACGTCGCCGGGGCATTGTAGTGGGGAATTCGCCAGGCAATGAGTAGTGGGACCATCGCCGAGTGCGAAGCGCGAGCGGGTGGACGAGCTGTAGACGCTGGACTGCTCGAGCCTTTGTTTCCGTACCGACTGTCTGCCTATTACATGGCATCGCTAATAAACCCCCTTGCACCCCAGGCAGCACGCCGCCGTTGGACCAATCTTGGACCGACATCGACTAACATCGGCACCGACGTCGGAAGTGCAACTTCTTCCAATGTCGGGCCGACGTTCAAGCCAATGATGGGCAGACGTTTTACCGATGTTTTAGCCAGTATGCAACCAACATTGGGCCGACGAAGGCCCATCGTATTGGCGACAAAGCTGCCAATGTTCGGCCAACATTGGGCCATATTTCAGCCAATCACATGCCATTTTTACGCCAATGTTTGCTGCACAACGGATATTGGCTACCGATGTACGACCGACATTGGACCAATCCAGGGCCACATTGCAGCCAATCAAATGCCGTTATTACACCGATGTATCCTACACGACGAATGTTGGCTACTGATTGGCTTGCCATTATGTAACCATTATTAGTAGGGAATTTTTCTTACCGTAAGATTAAACAATATGCCTCAATGACCCGCTCTTGTAGCTTTGCAGTCCTGTATACTTGGGGCAACAGAAAATTGAATGCTGAGAACTGAAAGCAGTTACTCGATCTATTTCATCTTTTATACCTCATTCCCTTTGCTAACACTAGAAGTGTAGTTTATTTACTTACCAATCCATCTTTTGCAATAGCGAGTGCTTAATTTGGTACTGGTATTTGGTGCAGCAGGTCGAAAAAAGTGCTTTGGAAGTAAATTCTGAAAGCATATGTCCTCCACATGCAATCCCCACATATGTCCCCCACATAATCGAGAATATTCATACTGTTTAGAGCATTTTTTTTGTAACTAAAACATGGTGATGGTGCTTCCTACTCAGCATAAGCTAGCTGAACAGTGCACCACCGACAGTCTTGAAACCATTTATTCTTTGTTTTTTTTTATTAGGTACAACAAAAATATATACATTGAAAAAAATATATACACAACTAAAAAGGGCCCGCTCTACTGCAGGTCAGGTTGTGTTGGGGGCACAGTGGCAGTGGTGCTGTCAAGGCCCTGGCCGCTGTGGCTGGGCAGGAAGCCAGCTGCCGCGAGCAGCCGATAATCTCCACTCTGAGAGTGGGGATCATCGGGCTGCTCCACAACAAATGCTTCTCTGAAGCGCCGCTTCCTGTCCCCACAGCGGTCACCAGACCCTGGCAGCCACCTCTTAATACAGTTGAGGGCCTCCGCCTGGTCGCACCCTGCTTTTTGGCAGATGACATCTGCATACAAGAACAGAAATACCATAGCACACATGAAGCACTGCAGTACAGAGAATACACAAGGGTACACACACATAAAACAATGAACAAGTCTAACCTGTCACTAATCTACAGAGCCTCCGGTTCACAAAGGCCCTTTTCCCTTTTCTGCCATGAAGGCTGCACAGCACTTGCACGTCATGTGCCAATACAGCCTTCATGGCATTCACACCAATTTCTGGAGGCCATGTCCCCCAATCTGCAGGAGGTGCTTGCGCTGTAAAAAAATGCAAGAAGCATAGATAGGGTACACGCAACAGCACATCGAAATCTTTTCATGATAAAAATCTGCAAGAAGAGGAAACTGAAAACAACAACTTGAATTTTTGGGCATCACAACATTTCATTGTTTTAACACTAACTTCAACTCACTTGACCTAAAATGGTTTCCACATAAGCCCTCTCACACTCAGTGTGAGAACCTTTCAGAGTCCTTCTCTGATATGCCTAGTTTTGCTGTTATGAAACCAAATACAACACTTTTATAACCCTTAATAACTATTGATTCTAGCTATGAAATAGTATAATTACTTTGTAGAGTGCTCAAGTTCCAATACACTTTTCTTCGAGGTTACAATGTCATTGCCTGAATGTTGACCAGGAGTAGCTTCTACAGGTGAAAAACGATAAAATATGTGGACTTCAAAAAGAAGCTTGGACATGTTTTTAATCAATGCATTGTAAGCAGAGCGCAACAAGATAAATGAACATCATCAAGGCGCACTAAGAGGCAACCTTAGAGTGACCAAATCTTGGTCATAGATGAAACTGATAGAAATATACAGGTCGCACCATTTGCTGTTTATGTTTTTCTGTGATAGCCAACAAAGAGGCATGTCGCTATAGAAATCTCATCACAATAAACAAAGGTGCATTTTTCTTCACCCTGCAAAATGGGGTGCATGTTAGATTTTAAAAAAAGTAAGAAATCGGCTAACACAAGGCAGGGTGAACTGTATGTAGCTCAAACTAGTGAGATGTCCCCCGCTACGCCACCGATCGCCAAAGAGAGGGAAGAACACTCAACCCTTTTTCTATTTGGTTCCCTCTTGGCTACGTGTCTCAATCACTTTCCACATACAGGGATTCGTGCTGGGGCCAAGAAGTAAGAGTCGCTACGACCTCTTTCTCTTTACTGATTCATTTAATTTAATAGCAAGTGCAAATGGCGCACACACATACTGTCCGTAAACGACATTTCTGTTACACGAAATTGTAACACATCAGCAAATACTCGCGACACGCAAAACAGGATACATAAGTTAAGTAACGGTGACAGAATACAGAATAATACACAATAAACACACGACGACACAAAGGATAAAGTTATCAATGAATAAAACCACGCAATGTCTCAACAGGCCACCTCCCTTCCCGCAAAGCTAATCAAAATAAGGTGCATAAAGTTCGTCTCACGAATAAAGTTCGTCTCACGTCTTGTCAGTCTTCATCGTCTTCGTCATCTTCGTTGTCTCTCTCGGCGATTTCCATCTTAATCTTCTTTCATAACGTCCCGCAATCACTCGCTTCCTCGTTTCTCATCTCTAACTTTCATTCCTCGTCATATCATCTCCGCCTTAGTCATAATCTTATCGATCCTCATTGCTATCTCTTCGCACCGTTATCTTCCTTTTCCATTCCGTCTGTCTACCATCTCAATCTCAATGCTCCGTCTCTCTCCGACTCTTCACATCGAATTTCAGACTCTCAAGCTCGTCTCGTAGTCCCCTTTTTGTAGGACCCGACTCCGCCCTACCGGGGCACCAAACCAGTTCGCCACTCCACGCGGCATATCTTTTCTTCTCAGTCCGAGTGTATCCTCTTCGGCGGCCGCCCCCATGGCCTACACCAGTCGAAAACCCTCTCCCAAACAAAGCCGAGCAAGTAACGATGTACAAACTCAAGCCTCAGGGAGAGTAATGGGCGAGCCGTCCGAAGACACCTTAATTACGGGCGAACAATGACCCCGATGCTTCCGGTACTTGGCGAGCCAATGTCTAGACCAAGTCTCAACGTTTTCATGCAGCTCGGTGTCTCCCGCCAAATTCTCCGTAGCCGTCGCTTCTTCGCCGTTCACTGCCGCGGGCGGACATCCGCGCAGAATGCAGTAATAAGCCCTGGAGCCACGGGGGTTGACGGAAAGGCATACTGGACCCGGCAGAGGCGCTTGCCGCAAGGGTCGCATTCCCCGAACCAACAAAAGGTGTTCTGCTGCTCCCCCATGCCACAGATCTGAAGGGAGCGCGCCGATTATCTCCACCGTACGCTGTCACACGGTCTGTAGACAACAAGGCGCCGCCCAGTCCTCGTGTTTGCGTGGGGGAGCCCGTGACAACAGTAGAGATAATCCTTCTGGTACTTCACTCCGGAATGCTCTTTATGCGTGGGTTTGAGAAACGAACGTACACATCTTGAAAGGAGTGGGGTTCAGTCCGTGTTTGCGGGGACGTCACAATCCCTTCATCTTGCAGAACAATTTTCCCAGCGGGGAAATTCAAACACGAGAAATGCAGGCGCATAACGCCTTCGGGTTGCGCAGCGAAATTGAGACATTGCGGCAGTCTTAGGAATACGATACGCGAACACAGTACACTTGTGGTTCAGCCGTGGGGGTGGCGCGTTGCTGAGAGGAACCAATCTTTGATTGTCGCTGAATCATCCCCCACCATGGAGCAGTTTGATTCCGTATTTCTACCGCGCACAAGACACACTTCGCCCGCACTGTCCACTCTCAGCACAACCAAACAGAGTATACACACATTTCATTACGCTTTCATTCCACACATGCACAAAATTTTAAGATCTTATCGAATATATCAAACCAAACGAAAAGTGGAATGGCGGGAGAACATAGGTCATACAGGCAGCAACACTGAATTACCCTCGTGTACCATCTCCTGCCTAGCCTCATTTCAGAACACAATCAACAATATAAAACAAGTGTACAAGCCAAAGCAAAACAATATAAAAAACTTAAACTTCTACAGAAGGTCTTTACTAAAGTAACATGCACAATGACCAAGTAGAAATTATGAAACACAGAATGGCATATAACATTGCGGACTCTTATGGCCTTAGCCGATCCCCGAGCGCTCACAACTACCCGTATGCAGACCGCTGTTGCGCCTTTGGGTAGCGTGGTGCGGACTCGGGCCATCCGAGTCCCCGGAGAGGACGAGTAGAGAAGCCGGAGAAGGAGAAAAAAATGTTTATATACAGTATTTACATGGTAGCGTGGTACAACATGAAAAGAGAATCACACACGAGCGCCTCTGCGCTAGCGTTTTTATACATCGTCCGCCTTCCCAAGATCCCTTGCAAAGATAATTTATGCGCAGGATACTCCAATGAGATCGTCGTCTTCCTCTCCGGCCCCGAAGAGGGAAAGCCAAACACCGCCTCCCTCTGAACCTAGGAAAGGGGGCAAGGCATGCCCAGTTCGCTGTTTGGTGAGGGAGACCCCACGCGCCAGCGTGGCACCACAGTGAGATGACGTGGAATCCCATGCGCAAAGTCGCTCCCTGATGCAGCCAGGTTGACTCAAGCAAGGCAGAATACCCCGTACAGCTGCTGGGTCGACGCTGCTTCGGAGTGTTGCTCTCGGCGGCTGACAAAAGCTTGGCCAACGACTTTTGTGTCAAGAGGAGCCGGCGACGTGGTTTTTCCCGATTGTCCGCGTCCTTCGCCGTCCCGGTGCAGGGTTGACTCATCAACAGCTGCCAGGTGCCAGCAGGCCGCGAAGACCACGTGGAACTTGGGCGAGGCACAACAGCACCCCCGCCGCCAGATGATACATCGGGAGGTCGAGTTGTTCCATGCAGCTCGGCCGGGTCGATGTCGGCGACGTTCCGGCAAGGCTCTTGCTTTCTCGAAGGGCCTGGTCAAACTGGAATGCTCCAAGAGCTGGCCTCTGCGCCCCGCTTCGGTGAAAAGTGGGTGACAAGCTCCAAGAAACGACCTTTGTCAGCCACACACAATGCGACAAGCACCGCGTGCACGCCACTCTCATCGCCAGGCCTCAGATTTTACAAAGCAAACATCTTATCTTAATAACTTAAGCTCAAGGAAACAATGTGCATACCAATCGGGACAAGTGTCCAGTAACTCTTTCATACGTAATTCCATTTGGAATCGAGATAACATTATAATCAAGCTAAACAAGCAAACTGTAGAGCTCGGGACAACGAGGGAGTCAGTAAAAAATTTCTCTATGCCCTCACTGTAACACATTGAAAGAAAAAAAAAAAGAGTACACATAAACTAGGTAAAGGTAAACAAAAAAATCAAACAAACCTTCCGCGTCTTTTGACGAGTCAAAACGCTCGACTTAGGGCGTCTGCATTTGTATGAAGGCCACCTCTCTTGTAGCGCACCTCGAAATTGTGCTGCTGCAGTGCTATGCTCCATCTGAGCAAACGACCATTCTTAGGTGACATTTGGTGTAACCAGGTTAGTGGAGAGTGATCAGTTTCTATAATAAACTTAGAGCCAGCAACATAGCAGCCTAGTTTTTGTACGGCCCAAACAATGCAAGCACATTCTTTTTCCGAAGTGCTATAAGCCTCTTCCCTGCTGCTCAATTTGCGACTCAAATACAAAACCGGCCGCTCCTCTCCACTCTGGTCCGTCTGACATAGCACTGCTCCTAAACCGCGTTCGCTTGCATCACACTGAATAGTGAAAGGTTTTGCAAAATCCGGTGCCCTCAAGACGGGTTTCTCACTCAATGCGTGCTTCAGCTTCTGAAAAGCGTCTTCCTTTTTAGAGTCCCATTGAATGTTCACAGGTTCGGTCTTGCGTAAACTATCTGTCAAAGGGCTGGCAATCTCGGAGTAATTCGGGACGTAATGCTGATAGTAACCTGTGAGGCCGAGGAATGCTCTCATCTCGGTCTTAGTGCTGGGACGACGATAACCGACCACCGCGGCTACCTTGAGTTCGGACGGTCGACGACGCCCATTTCCTACAATGTGCCCTAAATAGCTTACTTCAGCACAGCCCAAATGACATTTCTCTCTCTTTACCGTAAGACCTGCATTTTTGATCCGTTCCAAAACCATCCGAAGGTGTTCAACATGGTCTTCCCATTTGTCCGAAAATATCGCCACATCGTCTAGGTAAGGCAGCGCAAATTTCTCGAGCCCGTGGAGAACCTTATCCATCAGGCGGCTGAAACAATACGGCGCGTTCTTGAGCCCAAAGCTCATCATCAAAGGA